ACGGACAGACGGACAGACGGACAGACGGACAGACGGACAGACAGACAGACGGACAGGGCCAAATCAACTCAGCTCGTCACCCTGATCAAGAATATATATACTTTGTGGGGTCTGCCACGCCTCCTTCTGCCTGTTACATACATTTCAACAAAACCATTATACCCTGATTTCCCATTTTCAATGGGTTCAGGGTATAAAAAGGAACTACAATATTAAAAATAAGATAACAACTTTTTTGACTATAAACTCAGTAAAGGTTTAGAAAACCCATTAATAAATGGAATTAAATTTATTTTAAAATATGCTTGGCTTCATCTCCAAACAATTTATTTCGCACTAAAATTTTATATTTATTGCGTAGCTGAGATAATTGTTGTTGTTCACGATTTGTTAACGCATTTCAGTTTTGTTGGCATTTTGTTTTGTTCATTTCATTTCCCTTTTGCTGCTGGCAGTGCTGACCTACCTCACAGCTCATAGCAGCACTTAACCTAGAATGTTGACAAAAAAAAAAAAAAAAACTAAAAACTGAGTGAAATAGAGTTCAGCTGTGGCTCTGAGTGTGGCTTATATGCTTGCCTGCTGATAAGCCCCATAATGGCTCCATATGCAAGTTCGCCAARCACACACAAACAAACAACAAACGGGAATGAAGTTGCTAACGCTGAACTAAAGCCGCGCCAACCGACATAAGTTATCAAAAGTAATTATCAACCCAACAGCAAGCGAAACAACAACAAAGGGAACAACAACAACAATAGACAGGCAGACAGCGTGAATTCCAAAACAAAGCGCAGTTCACGGCTTCTGTGTATGTGTGTGTGTGACTCTGTATGTGGTAAGGTTTTAAGGGCGTGGTCCGTGCAACATAAGTAAGTTAGCGTTAATTAAGTCGGGCAACAAATGGCCAAATGGTGCCCGAAAAAAAAAAAAAAACGAGAAGCTGGAATCTGAAATGTGTAATTTGCATAGGCATTCGTGTGGCTAAGGAACATAGCAAGAAATAATGAAAGACGCTATTAGGAAAGACTTAAAAGGCGAGATATAAGAAGACAGAAAGAGAGAGGAAGATATCAAAATGGTTGAAAGAGAGAGAGAGGGGGAGAGAGACTAAAAAAGAGAGATATACTTACAAAACAGGGAGATTATAAATGTACTAAGCAAAAAAGTTAAAGAGGAAGATAAAAATATGTTTATATAAGAAAAAACTAAAGCGAGGAGAGAGAGAGAGAGAGAGAGAGAGAGAGAGAGAGAGAGAGGAGCGGATATAGAAAGAATTACTAATATTTGTATACAGAAATAACCCATAAGAGTAAAGAAGTAATAGAGAAGGAGGGAAGGAAATACAGACAGAGAGAAAGAGGATAGAGAGAGCAGGAGTAAGTGAGAAAGTATTAAAGTAAAATATAAATACAGATATAATATAGAGAGACACAGAAAGAGAACAAAGAGAAAAAAAATGATATATATATATATATGAAAAGAAAGAGAGAGAGATAGAGAAAGATGTATATATATAAAAAGACGTATAGCAAAATTGTAAAAGACAGCAAGCATTGAGCGATTGAAAAATATAGATAGATACATATATAATTTTAAATAGAGAATGATTGATGAAGAGAAACAGCGAGAGGAGCAGAGTGAGAAGCAAGATAACCCAAAAGAGACAAAATATGTATTTCTAAATATATGTTTACTAATTTTGTTATTTACTTCGAAAATACTTTAATATATACTTTAATATAGGTATATTCGACTATACTTTTATATATATAATACAAATTAAATACACTTTTACGATTAAGTAAAATACGATTAAATAAAAATTTCCTACAAAGCTTCACATATTAAAGAGCTGAACCTGAAGCACTTTTCCCCTTTTTGTAATACTGATATAATTTGTGTCATTAAACCGCCGCTCAGCTTAAATATATTTGTTAATATGTTCACACGTCGCCGACATTCGATAAGATTTATTAKTTATTTTATTTTATTTCATTTTATTGACTTGCTCGGTGCCGAGCTGAACTGGGCCAATAAAGTATGCATTTACTGGGCGCTATTATAGATTTATATGCAAACGCATAAATTTCCAGCTCAGTTGACACTTAAATAGCGGTCCGCACACTTGGCAACAGAAGCGGCTGACGTTGACGTTGACGATGGAGCTGACGATGGAGCTGACGATGGCGCTGACAGCACGAACCCATTTCAAGGACAACGCGGCGTATGCGTAGCCCAAGCTAAGCAGCAGCTCCAACTGCCAGCTGTGCAGACCAATGGATAGCTGTCTGAGACTTGGGACTTGGTGCGTGCGTGCCAAAGGAATGCAATAAACTAGACACCACATTATGCGCAGCCACACATTTGCATATAAAATGGCAGCGATTTTCACACCACTTTCCCCCCCTTTTTCCACCACTGTAAGAGCTTGAAAACGGGCTGTGAAAATTGGTTGGGCTAGTGCGTTCTTCGCCTGCTGCCAAATGGAGTGCGCAAATATTTACTCAAAAAAAAAAATTGCCAGCTAATGATATGCGAAATGAAATATTGAAACATAGCATAAAATAAATTTATTGTAAACAGTATTAAGAAGAAATGTTGAGTAGAATGTATTGATTTTTATTGTCATTTAAAAACGATTATTTTCAGTTTTTCTTATTTTTTAAATCAATTCTCCAAATGCAAAATAAATCAATGTGTCGTCTTACTAGTCTAACATTGCACTGTTAAACTAACAGCAGAGCGCCTGTTATCTAAGCTTCTCAATTCAGCATTGACCTCTACTGTTACAGTAGTGTTGGTGTGAGGCTGAGACCTTGTACAGAGAGAGTTCTGAATGTATTTTCCACATGAGCTTGTGTCGTGACTCACGCTAGAGAGAGTGACAAAGAAAGCTGCTGCTGAACGTAGTCCCGACTGTTGCTGAGTGAGAGTGAAATGGATACTACTGCTAGGCTCTTCGAACAGATCGTTATGATGCTCAGTGAAAGAAGAGAAGTGACTAGAAATTGTAAATTTTAAGCATCAACAAAGTTAGCGCCCCAGAAATTCTTGATTTGTAACTATTGTAAAAGTGAAAAACAATTAACAATTATTAAAAAACAATAAATCAGATAAATAGCTATATTACTGACGACTTATAAGACTCCAGCTAATCCCAAGTCCACTTTAAAAACGATCTCTTCAAGCGCAGCTCTACTGTTTTTACCCAACAAATCCAGTTGATGTCCTCATGTCACACTTAAGCAATCTAATTTGCAGCTGCTCCAAATAACAGAGTAACCGCTAGTCGAACATCTTTGATTAAATAGCTTCGAGCGCTTTATTAATGCTCAGCCCATTTAACTATTGCCAATTAGCTTTGGTTGGCGCATAAATCAAGCAGCAACAAATAAACAAATGCGTATATGAATGAGTCGATGTAAGGCGGAGTGGTTATCAGAAATGGGCTAAAAAGCCTCAAGCTGCTGCTGTACAAAAAAAATAAATAAAAAGCTTTGCCTAACTATAAGTTATTAATATGTATTTATTTGTTTTTTGTTTGCTTCTTTTTTGTCCAAATGTCAAATTACTTTAACCCTGAGCCAAATAAACCACGGCACAACAAAAATTTGCATAAAAGCATAGTGAAGCGAAGTCGAGCCGCGTCCATTTGTCAATGTAACAGCAAAGAAAGCGAGTTTTAGCTTGGTCCGCATCCGAGATGCAGATGCGTTCGAAATATGCAAATTAGCGTGCTAATTTGTGAAGGCAATCTTTAAATAGAGCCATAAATTTAACACAGTGTGCGTTGGCGTACATGTGTGTGCGTGTGTGTGAGTGCAATCAATCAAAGCGATGGCGATGGCCAACGAAATGATTTATAATTAAAAAATTATCAGTAAAATGCGAACAGAAAATTTTAATGATGATTATTGCATGAGGATGAAACTGACGAAGCTGATGATGACGAAGTCGTCGCTGTTGTTGTTGTTGTTGTTGTGGGGCGTTGCGTGTACGACAAGTTGATGCGGTCTCTCACCTTGAGAGGTTTATATTGATTTCAACTACAGTCAAACTTGTCTTGATGGGTTTTTTTCTTTATTTATTTTTTTTTTTTTTGCTCCCCGGTATCAAACGAATTCATGCCAGTGCAGCGGTAGCAGCTTAAAAATTAATAAAAGAAAAACATAATGAAATAAATATACATAAAAAGCAAAATAAAATAAATAATGCCTAGCTCCTCTATTAGTTACATATACGAAACCTCATGCTCCATTGCAAGCACAATAAACATCGCAAAGCCCACAAAACTAACGAAAGAAAGAAAGAAAGAGCGCAACGAAAGTGGAACGAACGGATGTGCCACAAAACAGTGGGGCGAGCTATGCCCAAAGTGGGCAGCAAATGCAATCAGCATGTTTGGCATGCCAAACACAGCCAGACAATTAAAATTTATCGAAAACCCAATAAGAATATTCTAATTGTAATCAAAGTCACGTCTTGGCAAGCCCAAACAGTTTTTTATTTACATTTTTAATTTCACTAATATTACTTTCTAATATACATATATAAATATTTTTATAGACGTAAACCCTATTTAAATAATT